CATTTAATAGAAGCTGGAATGGACACGCCGGGCGGTCGCAGCCAAGGTCTCGCAGCGGGTCGTTTGGGGACTGTCCTTAAGGGCGTCTCTTTAGGGTCTCTTCGAACCTAGGGCTTGCCTCCTCGAGAGCCTCTAAAGTAATCTTTTTTGAAATTTTTTTGCCGATAGGAAGCGAACTTCCGCCGCTGGCGTCCGGCCGAGCGCGCGTCCGCCTCAGACCCTGCCCTCCCTGCGCGGCCTGGCGAGCACTGTGGGGAGTTGGCTCGAGAAAGCCTCTTGCTTTCGGGAGGTAAACGTATGTTCTTTTTTGTTTGACTTTCTTTGCGTGACCTATATTTACTTTTTGAAACGTGATTATTTAGAGAGAAGCTGCTTTCTTAAATGGCCAGGGTTTTCGGAGTTCTGCCCGTAGCTTCTGCAGAACGCGTATCACGTCACTAAGGGACAAAGGATCCGACTCCCCCACGGAGCTTCAGCACAGGCCTCTAGGGAGGAAGAAGGGCGTTTTATTACACTCATAACTACATTTGGACTTATCGTTTACTTTTCCCCAGAAAATTAAAATACCTTGGGGGGGGTGCTTGTTTTTTTTCTTCTACCTGTGCTGGGAAACGAACCCACGTATCAAGCTCTGCCACCCAGCTGCATTCCCAGCGCTTGTGAACTGTTTAATAAGATGCAAGTTGCAGAAGTGATACTTGATTGTAGTTCTTTTTTGTTGTTCTGGAAATTGAACCCAGGCCTTCACACTAAATCCCGAGCCCCTTTTATTTTTTTATTTTTACTTTTTATTTTTTTGGTACTGGGGATCGAATTCGGGACCTTGCGCTTGCGAGGCAGGTGACAGAACCACTGAGCTAAATCCTCGGCCCTTTTTTTTTTTAAATTTTGAAACAAGATCTTCCTAAATCGCCTAGATTGGGCTCCAAATTAATCTTCCTGCCTCAGCCTCCCAGAGTACTGGGATTACAGGCATAGACCACCACACCTGATACTTGTGTTTCAAATGCTTGATAAAGCAACTTCTATAAATACATTGTCTTATTAAAGCCACCATACAAACTCAGAAGGACTGATGTGTGCCCTGTGGCCCCAGCAACTCTGCCATCTGAGGCAGGAGAATGACAAGACTGGATAACGTGACCAAGCCCCTTCATAAAAGGAGCAGAAAGCCACAATACTATTACTTGAGCCAAAAAAATAGAAAATATTAATATCCACATGTAAAAAAATAAAAGTTGGGGCTGGGGATTTAGCTCAGTGGTTCGGTGGCCTGCCTTGCAAGCGCAAGGACCCGAGTTCAATCCTCGGTACCCCCCCCAAAAAAAATTCTCCATTGTACCAAAATGTTTTTGGATTTAATAGTTTCGTGTATTACCATTGTTTTAGTGTCTTCTAATTTAGAACAGTTCTTTCTCCCTTATATTGTCTTTGGTGAGAAGCTGTGTTGGGGACCCAATGCAGAGTTTTTGGGCATGCTAGTTAAGTGCTCAACCTCTGAAGTGTGCCCAGTCCTGTGTTGTCCTTTTGAAGAATTATTTTTTATTTGGAATCACCCATTTTATGTTTTGCCTTAATTTTTTTTCATAGTGCTGGGGATTGAACCCAGAGTCTTACTCAGCCTTGGTGAGTGCTCTTAACACTGAGCTACACCTCCAGCCTCTTCACATTCTTCCGTTTAAATGTTTCCTCCATCTGTTGTATTTACTGTAAACTAGTGCCTGAGTTGTTGATTAAAGCATGGTGAAAATTTTCAATGTAGAACTGTTCTCAGGGAGCTTGTAAATAAATGGAGGAGGCTGACATCTAACCAAGGAGAGATGTGTTATTACAAATTGATGAGGATCTGAAAGTAGAGGATAATATGTCTTCATATGGGCGTAATGAAGCTAAGAAGCGTAACAATTAAGGCCACAATGTCCATTCTGAAAGGGAATTAGGAGGGCGGGAGCAAGGATTACTCCCAGATTTGACACCGGAGTCATTTTCTAAGGGGAGGGGGCAGCGGTGACTGAGAAATGAGTATCCTGTTCAGTATACGACTGATAGAAAAACTAAGAGCTATCTATTGAAATTATGTAAGTCAAGGTAAAACGAACCTGTAATCCCAGCTACTTGAGATGCTGAGGTAAGAAGATGGCAAGTTCAAGGCTATTCTGCATAACATAGTGAAACTGGATACCTGAACAGAAAAATGTAGAACAAAACATGAATGTCTTTTAAAATCATGAATAGGAAATTGACTTGAAATAAAATCAGTGGCCAAGTGTTGATAAGTAAGCTCGCTCTGAACATTCACTTCCGTTAATTACCTGTCTCAGGAGATGCTTTTATTCACAGTCAGAACGGGAGTTGCTTTATTTTTCCCCAGTCAGCCTTGGTTGTCTTATTTCTGTCCAGACCAACCCTTCACTTCCTTGAATGAATGTCTAGAGTGGGGTTGGAATAAAGCAATGGTAGAGTTCTGAAGGATAGCAAACAGCCCATTGTAGCATACGCACCAGAGATTCACCACCACGGGTGTAGAGTGACCGCTCCTGAGTGACTCCTCACAGACACTCACACATTTCGGGAGCTGGATTCACTTCTTGGGGAAATAACCAGATGACTCACCTGCTGGAAAAGCTGTGTGACTTGGCAGTGTCCATGTTCTCTGGCCACTTAAGGGTCCCGAGAGCTGAGTGAACATAGCGAAATGTTGATGTGAGTTGATGAGAGCGTATATGTTTATTGGTGAGGCAGTCTGAAAAATTGTTGGTAGGATAGCCTGACTTTGTACATGTGCATGTTCATGTGTTCCAGTGTTTTATGTCATAGCCCTAAATTGGAAACAGCCCAGCTTTGGGTCAGCATAACTAGGTACATTGTCGAGTATTTATGGATGATTCCAGCAGTGATGGTGAACCTTTAAGAGCTATCAGTGCTCTTTAGTGCCATGGGTTTGCCTCCACTGGTCTATAGCAAATAGAATAAATGAAAGGTAGATGGAAAAAATGGATGAACTTTACTATTGGGGTGTGGAGGGAAAGTGTTTACCTTTGTAATTTAGGCTGGTCTTGAACTCACGTAGCCCCAGCTGGCTTCTGCATCGTCTCCTGAGCGCTGGGATTTCAGGGGTGTGCCACCACCTCCAGCTTGGACTTTACAGTATTGAGTGAAAGAAGCTAGATCCAAAGGCAGGGAGCGTTAGACCTTATTGGCTAATGTATTTGTTGTCTGTTGCTGCCTAACACCTCAAAGTCGGTGGGTTAGAATAATGCTGTTTCTTTGGGTCAGGAGTACAGCCCGATGTAGGAGGGTCCTCTGGTCAGGATCTCATCCGATTGTGATTAAGGAGGCATGGGTCAGGTTGCAGTCTCATGTTGCTTAACTGGGAAAGATTAAGTAGGGGAGAATATTTCCACACTCGGGTAGTGAGCAAAATTCATTTCGTTGGAGCTGTAGATTTTTTATTGGACACTGTCTGCTGGAGCTCCTAAAGACTACCTGCAGTGCTCGCCATCTGACCACATCATTGAGCCAGTGAGCTCAGTTCTACCACCCCAGGGAAGGCCTGCACCATCTATGCTGGCAAGTGGAGATCCCCAGAGTCTTGAGTGTGATGGGCAGCGATGCTGCAGTTACAGCCTGCTGGAGGGTAGAGAGGTTTGCTGGCTGCTCTGGGCCAGATTGGTTGCAGTTGTTAGGCAGCATTGAAACAACGTTAGCCGCTGTTGGTGGGCTAGTGTGTAGAGGGAGTCAAGGCACCCAGTGTAGGTGGAAGGCCTGGAGTGCCCGGTGTGTTCTCAGGAGAGCTGTGACAAACATCTGGGTCATTGTGTTCATTACTTCTTTTTCATTCCTGAGACAAAATACCTGATACCCAAAGTTGGAGGAGAAGGGGTTTATTTAGCTCACAGTTCATAGAGGTTTCAGTCCATAGTCAACTGGCTCCAAGGCAGGGATGACAAACAGGCCTTGAAGAGGAGAAGCAACATGGCATGCACAAGGTAGTAAAGGCACCAAGGGGGGCCCTTCACTGAGTCTTTCTGCTTTTATACCATCCAGACTACTGGGATTAGTTCAGTGCTAAACCACTCACTCGTGTAGTAGTTTAGTAACCACACACACTTAATCCCAGCAACACACATTCCAGATTCATCTATTTCTGACTGTATGAGGCTTTAGGTGGACATCCAGACCCAAACCATAACAGGCACCCTTCAGCCGGGGAATTCGGGTGCTACATAGGTTGCAATGCCTGGATCTCAAGTGTCTATTTCTACAGGGTTGTGGGGTCCAAGAATTTCAGGCCCAGGTTACCGAGCGTGGGTGTACAAAGTAAGTTGGGTCTTATGTGTTTGTGGTGCACAGTGTCTCATGAGGGAAACAAGGCAACAGCATGGTTGCAGTGAGCAAGGCGGCCATGGATGGTGGTGACTGGTTCAGGATTTCTAGGTTATCTGGGTCATGTTCGAACAGAAAACATTTTGTTACTCAAAGATCAGTGAAAGACAAGGTCATGGAGGCCTGATGGGAAAGTTGGGAGGCACTGGGTTGCTCATCTAGCCTGTGGGGGAAGTGTCTTTATTAAATTCCATACGTGTTACCCATTAGGCTTGATGACCAGAGAGCACTGAGATGTGTGCATGAAGTTTACCCGTGTGTTGTTTGTTGGGTCCAGTCTTACGTTTATGAGGACCCTGGCTAAAGGATGGAAACCAGCAGCTCTTTTCCTAGTTTCATCATGTGGGATGGTCAGCAGTGCCCTTTCATAGTCTGTGAACTTGAAATTGTCACTTGATCCCATGGGCCTTCCGAGTAGTGTGGGTCTGGGGGCAGGGTCTCATCCTCTAGCATCCTGTCTTGTAACTAGGGACTGAGTACAGGGCAAGTCCTTTCCTACAGGTGAAATACTCCAAAGGACTCATTTTGACTGCCTCCTGACAGAGGCCTGCGTCGCAGTGTCCTGTCATATCCTGTTGTTTTTATGCTCCAAAGCATAATGGGCAGCTAGAATAGGTCACAGGCTTGGTGGTCTGGGAGAGGTTCTATTTATTTCCAAAAGAGCCTAGTAGGTAGGTGGCCAGTCATATCTTTTTCTTTTTTTTAAATTAAGTTTATTGGTACATTTTGGGTATACATTATGGTCACATTTTCTTCTTCTTTTCATGGTACATACCAGGAAGCCAAGAGAGTTTCTTTTTTATTAATAGATTTTATTTTATCCCATTCCCCCCTCAAGCCTCCTCCCCTCCCTATGTATGAAAGCTCTGTTTTCATTTTTCCTTCTATTTTCACTTGTTTTTGTCCCTC